ACTGAGGCACAGAGGGTTTCAGTATTTGCCCAAATTCTCTTCCCTAAATGTGAGCAGCTCCAGGATTAGAGCCCAGAGTCCTTGACTCCTCATCAGGGTTCTTCTCTCATCTCATGTTGTCATTCAGAGTAACCTTCAACGTGGTATTTAAAAGACCTCATTTTGTATAGGATCCTTAGCAGGGGCAACTCACATTTTAGAAATGTATTGTTTGACAGGACGGTTCGTTGCGTAGATTTCAGATTCCTTTTCCTCTCTTTCACAATCTATCCTTACAGGTAAAATGCCTGAAAGGATCTAGGCTAGAGCTGGGCCATCACCTGGGTGGTCGTTACTGCCAGCGGGTGATTAGCAGAAGAGCTTTTCTCTGACTTACTGAAGTAACGATTTTGATTTAATTGTTTCCATTACAGAACACTAAGAAATTCTGCTTTCCATTGCTGTCCGTTGTCATCCACTAAATTGTAGTACACATGGGGGTGGAATTTTTTTAAAAAGTATATACATATATATATATATTTATGAAGAATGAAAGAAATAGAAAGTGGGGAATATGAAAATCCAGTTCAAGTCAAAGCACTTTTTGCATATTCTACATAGCATATCAGCCCAATCATAAGTATTTTTAAATATCAAAGGTACTGTTAGAATTTTTTTAGATACTAAATATGGGAGAAAATACTATTAGTCTACACTGAACAGCAGTGTTTTGTTAGAGCAAAAATTAAAACTGAAAAATTAGAGGACATTTTTTCCCTCTAACTTCTTTTTTCCATTGCTCCCCCTTTCTTTCTGAGAATCCCTTTAACCAACTTAGAAAAGCAGAACTTTGAAAGTGAACAACTTGGTTGTTCCTTGAACCAGTGGGTGGGGTGACAGTCATGAGAAGGCCCTTAAATAGAAGCACCACTTCCTCTGTTCTGTCCAGGGATTGATTCTTTGAATCCAGGGAACAGAAAATGTGTTGATTTTTCCCTTCCTGTTTTCTGGGTGGGGACTGGTGTGTGTGTGACGGGGAAGGAGGGGGTGTTTGGTTGTCTTTTTTTTTTTAATTTATCTTATTTTAATTTAAATACTTAAAAGTTTAGAGGTTTATAACACCTACCAGTCTATACACGCAGTAGTAACAAGATGCTTTTCTTCCAACCTTGTTATTTGAGGGGATTGACACGCAAATATTTCACTGGACCCAAAGTGTACATATTTTGTTTGTTCAATATTACAGGCTTAATTTGTTTTGCTTTCTTTTATATTAATATTTTGAACTCTATCTAAGCAACATTAATTTCATTTGGAACTTTTTATTGCTTTAAAAGGAATGCTCTATGTAGAGTCTCCAATAGACTTGGAAGCAAAATAAGCCACCTCATTCTTGGATTAGGTCTAATTGAAAATAGCCCAAATAATAATTTTATATCATGCCTAAAATATACATCTGTACTCCAGCACTTTAATAAATAATACATACTTTTTGTATTAACTTTCTAGCAACCATTTATATCCTATATGCAGATTTTGAAACTTCCAATTGTTTTATCTCATCATATTCATTAGTAATACCCCTTAATTTTTACTTTATACTATATATATATGGGCTTATATTTTTAAAATTTGCAAAAAATCACATCAACATTTTCACATTATAAATTTAATCAATCTTAATCAAATTGGGTAAATTAAAATTGAAAACCATTATTAGATCAATGTTTATTTACATCTATAATGGAGTTATCAATCATCATTTATTCTCTATTAAAGCAATTTTATGTTTCTTGGACAATTATGAAAAACATTGAGTAAATAAAACATACTAGATTTATTAACAGTTTCTACTCTCAAATTTTAACAGTCTAATTGGTAGAGCAAAAACATCACAAAATAATTGAAAAACATCCTAGTCCTAATATTTTAGCCAGATTCTTGACATTCTTGAAATTAGGTCTTTAAGAGTAACCATTGTACTATCTATATATATTATATCTAAATATCCCAAAACATTATGTTGTAAACCTCAATATACACAATAAAATTTACTTTAAAAATAAAATGATAAAAGAGATAACAGCTGAGTGGAGACTCAGGAAGTGCACATAAGTAAACTGGAGGCCAGACCTGGTCATTCTACTTAGCTTCTCCCATAATGCCAGCACAAGCCCTGGACACTGTAATAAATTTTTGTTAAATAAATTTCTGCTAAGTTTAAAAAAAATGAAATTATTGTTGGCTCATGACTGCCACATTCACTTCTGCTGGTTATGCTCTGTAACAATGTCCCCTGTAGGCAAGGGGGCTCTGCACCCACAAAGCTCTGAGCCCCAGTAAAGGCTGTGCCTGCCCAGAGAAAGGGCAGCTTCTACTCCTAAGCCAGGTGCCCACAGAGGGAGTCTCTCAGATTGACATAATTGAGATATACAGGACAGTGACGGCTCTGTTACTGTGCAAGGTTTGGTGGACGAATTGAGTTTTTTAAAATGTCACTATAAATGGTGAAGATTTATTAGGTGGATCAACAGGAGGAAGCTTTTGCATGTAGGGGGTGGAGGCAGCATTTACCATGGGTTAAGGCACAAAGTCTGAGATGAGGATGGCATGTGCTGTGGTTAGTGAAGAGCCTAGATTGATTGGAACAAAATGTGCATGTCTTTGATGAGTAGGGGATTAGATGGGAAGGTGAGCAGGGGTCAGGTTGCGAGGGCCCTGAATACTGGGTAAGGAATTTGGATTTATCCTCCAGATGAGAAATCACATAGGCATTTGTCCAAATTCATCACAGGATCAATGATATCTTATTTTAGGTAGATTAACCCAGGGTTATGCAGCATAGAATAAAAAGAGAAAGGAATGATTGAAGGCTAGGAGATGAGGTTAGAAGCTGCTATATATAGTGCATGGTTTTAGTATCCAGCCCAAGATCCAAGTAATGAGAATGAAAAGGAAGATATGATGTGACAGTGTTTTCATTATAATGTAAATATTTTTGTTTTTATCTGATTTCCAAAGGGAATCCATATTTATTATAGAAAATGTTGAAAATATGGATATGTAAGGAAAAAATTAAAATCACCCATTCTCATTTAAACCATAGATTAGCAACTCTTGACATTTTAAGCACTTTTGAATTTTTTGCTTTGTTTCAATTTATGCAGATTGAAATCATGTTACATTAAAGCTATGGTTATATAGCCTGTTTTCTGTTATTTCTCTTGTTAATAAAAGTTCCGGGAGTACCTCATTTTTAATGGCTCTACCTTACTCCATTTTTTGAGTACAGTATAGTTAACTATTCCACCATTTTAAATTTAGACTTTTCTCAGCTTTGTGTTGTTAAAAACATTGCTGTAATGAACATCAAATAACATAAATGTTTTATTCCATACTCTTCTTCATTTATTTATTTGAATAAATGTTTTTATTCAAATATATGTATCTGTTCATGTATTTATTTTGCCTATGTCAATTTCAACTCTGATCTGCCATTTCCTACCCTGAGTCTATATTTAAAATTATGGAATGGGGGTTCTTACTGAGTGTTTAAGTCTCCAATTATGTAGAGTATCATCAGCACTTTCATTTTCGTTGAAATCATTGTCTCATTTTGTTGATTGCCATTTAAGTTTATGATGTGTTTTAATCCATTCCCCTGTACATGGGCATTTAAGTTGCTTCTAGTCTTTCTCTGTTTAAAACAATGCTGCAATTAATATCATTGTATTAATACATATTATATTTCCATGTGCACAATGAAAGTATGTAAACTTCAAAGGTGACTACAGGGACATAAAACGTGTAAATCTCTAGTGTCCGATACACTTCAGTTACATCAGTTAAAGTTGCTTTACACATGGGCACTCACTTCTGCAAGCAGAGCAGAGGAGTTCCAATTTACTCACATCCTCATAATCCTTTTATAAATTATTGCCAATCTCATCTATATGAAATAGTACCACCTTTTCTGTATGTCAAATAATATCTCATTTTCTTTTACATCTCTCTAATAATGAATAATGAATTTTAACTTATTTTCATATGTTTATTAACCATTCAAACTTTTTGTCTGGAATTTGCCCATTTTTTCTACTGTGTTGTCTTTTTTTTTTTTTTTGGTATATTCTAGATACTAATCTTGTGATAGTCAGCTTGTTTGCCGAAGTGTTCTCCCTGTGTCTCTCTTAATCTTGCTTAATAGGTATTTTATACTAAATATATATTATAGACAAATTCATCAATCTGATCTTTTATGGTTTAAGGCCAGCAGTCCCCAACCTTTTTGGCACCAGGGACCAATGATTTCACGGAAGACAATTTTTCCACTGAAGCTGGGTGGGGAGTGTAGGGGATTAGATGGAAAGGTGAGCAGAGATTGAATTGCACGGGCCCTGAATACTGGGTGTATCGTGGGGGTGGGGTGCAGACCTCAGGCGGTGATGCGCAGCCCATTTCCTAACTGGCCATAGACTCAGACCAGTATTGGGCTGTGGCCCAGGGGTTGGGGACCACAGGTTTAGGAGTTTTCTATCATGATTGACAAGTTCTTCAACGTCAAAGGATTTTCTCGTGTATTTTTTTATAGATCTTATTTCTTATTTTTTTAATTCATCTCACATTAATTTGCATAATTCAAGTGATTTTCCAGATTGAAGAAAATGAAAAATGTAAAAGAAAAGAAAAATTTGGTGAATTGTATTCTAGTTGTATATTGTATTATAGTTTTGTTGTAAGTCCATAATTGAAGATATTTTCAACTTTTTATATGAGCAAAACATATCCATATTCACCATGGTTGCGGTAATGAAAATTAATGTCTTTCTCATTGATTTCAGAGAAAATCTATCGGAGTTCAGCCATTAATACATGAAGCCTTTGCATAATTATTTCTAATTGGGTTGAATACAATTTCACTTCCTGAATATTTCAGTCCTAGTCTTTGTAACTTCCCTAAGTCCAGAAGGAATACATTGTCATTTTTAAAATAGTTGACATGGGATTCATTTTACTTTCAGCAATTCACAGAAGCTGTGAGTCCGTCAGTGTTACCCCCTTCAGCTTTGCCATTGGACCTGCTTAATAATGCCGTGACTGCCTTTAGTACCTTGGAAGATCTTATTCGGTATCTCGAACCAGATAGATGGCAGCTGGACTTAGAAGATCTATATAGGCCAACTTGGCAGCTTCTTGGCAAGGCTTTTGTTTTTGGAAGAAAATCCAGAGGTAAGCTCCCTCTTCAGATTAGAACCTCATTTAATTTTCTTTGCAGCTAATGTTTCAGATTCTTCTGCCATAGTTTCTAAAGAGTAGAGTTTAAAAATTCTTCACTGATATAGTCAAATAATCATTTTCTTATCATTTGAGCATATTTCTATATTGAATAAGAATATATACAAAAGCAGGCACCGAATTATAACTCAGGGGGTTTGGAAAATTAAAAAGGATACATCTGAAATTCCTGTCATTTCTTATCTTCAAAGATATCATTTCAATGAAGTCCTCCATTGCGTTTCAACAAGAACATTTGCTCACTCAAACCTAATATTTGGAGTATATTGATTTGAGATTCAAGAGAAAGCATCATAGCTGCAAAACCAGATTTGGGCTAGACAAGGGGAGCATGCTGTAAAAATCCTTGTCTATGATGTGTCCCATGAATTAGGGCTATATTAATTTCTATTTTCTAAGCTTCTAAATATTATGAAAAATAGTGTCTATATCAGACACAAATGAAAATGTAATAGAAATAATTGAATAATTATAATGCATTAAAAAAACTTGTTCAGTCTGTCGGAAACATTGAAATCCACCTAGGATCACTTTAAAGAACGGAATGACAGTCTGGAGAATTTATGTGGAAGGAACAATGTTTGGTTAATTTGAGCCATTCACAAGGGCAGATTGCACGAGACTTGTTCTTCTAAATCTTGTCAGAAAGAAACCTGATTCCTGCCCTTTCCCCGGGCGAGTTGCAGCCCTTTTGGATCTTGAGCTTTAGTCTCAGCAGGTCATGTTCAGACTTGCCCAACCCTAGTACTTTGCTATGCCAACAGACGTGGTTTCCTTTTGGCCGTATTTGAAATCGGTGTTCAAGTGCATGGGCAGCCAAATCCTGTCCAGATGCTAAAAGCTGTTACATATTTATAAGATTCGAACTTGATGAATAACTTGCAAACAACACTTCCCTTCCCTCCCACTTAGGAACAGGAAGATGCGGATCTGTAAGACTAGCTGAAACACCCATGAATAGAGCCCTTGTTAGCAAAGTTGAAGTAGATTATCATGTTGATCTGTAAGAAGCAGGAGGAGTGAAACAGGTTCTAAGCTCAGATCTAGTTTCTTGGCAGCTGGTTTCTGGATGTGAGCCTAAAAACCCCCCTTCCAGCCATATATTTATGCCTGAATCTCTGTGCCTGGTGCTCAAAGATTTGGCCAGGGGCTAGCATGTATTTAAAAGCATCCAGCTCTGAACAAGATCTTTCAAATATTCATTTAACACTTTCAAAATTGAAGCCCTTTGCAGTTTGCCAAAACTATTAACTTTTTAAGCATACAGTAAGTGTGAGAAAAGCAGTGTATATTTTTGGAACTATACATAAACTAAAATGCAGGTGTGGGATAACATCTATATAGACAAAACCAACTTCCCTCCTCAGAGTCTCTCTACAAAGGAACAAGGAGAGAAACTTTTAAAAGCTTCTAATTAGACACTGAAATAGATTTTCCACAGAATAAACATATCACAGTGTTACCACATTCATCTTAGAAAGACCACCCTCAGATTGCCTTACAGTAATAGAATATCAGTGGACTGAATATCTTAAAAGAATGAACAACTAACGAAGTATAAAATGGAACTATAATTTTTTGGTCAATATTGTCCTTTTTAGTGAAACTTAAAATATTGATAAAATTTGCATTTAGAAATAATGATTTTGATTGGCGATGTGCTCAAAATCTCCATTCTTTAGAAAAACAAAATGGTGCGTGGATCATCTTAGGAGGTAATTATGAAAATGAAAAAATCTGGAGGCTAAGTTTTACTTTATGATTATTTTGCAGAGGGAAATGTCATTAATATTATAGTTGAGCTATAAAAAGTATGCCTTGGAGCATTTCCTTCTTTCTTTCTCTCTTTCTTCCTTTCTTTTTTTTTCCTTACTTCTTTATTTTCTTTGCTTTATTCCCCCCTAAAAGTTCTGCACAGTGTTTGGAGAATTTATAACACAGGATATAAAGTCACATGACTTATTTTAAAGAAGCTTATGTGAGTTTGAAAACTTAGGAGTAGGAAGCATAAGTTTCAAATATGATATGCCAAATTTAAAATTCTTAATTATATTTTTCACCCACTATAGACTGCATTATTATGTGTTTCTGTTTATTTTCTTCTCCTTTTTTCCTTTGGTTCAGGGTTTTTATTCATTCATATTGCCAAAAAAAAAAAAAACCCTGTATTTTCTAAGTCAACTTAACTAGTACTTATAAAGGACTTTTGCCTTTTGTGTCAAACATGATAAATGAGTGGAAGCTAAGTTGAAAGGGTGTTTAAATTTTCACATTGTAGCAGGTATCATAACTTAGTTCTCTTGGGAAATCTATCTAACCTTTTATTATGGTTAAGTAAACATTTTAAGGGGAGCATATACTGTCTCATTTTCTAGTATCATAAAATAGTGTGTTTAAAACTATTTGAGGTAGGTGAATATGCTTTGACAGCTAAGAGCATCTTCTTCACGTTCTAATATGTAGTATAAATCTTAAATAAGCAACCAGCTTTTGTGTTTGTGCATGTTTTTAAGTTTTCTCCCTCCTTGCCCAGATATTAACTTCTAGAGAAAGGATTCAAATAAATTCACATATGGCTTTAACAACAAAAGAGCAATGTGTACCTATACTATTAGATCAGCAAAATGAAATCAGGTAAAATATATGACATCCTTTAACCCAATGATCTCATTAATTTTATTAGCGATAAGTTGATCTTTTCAAGGCACTTAGAAGAAGGAACACATTTGCTCGTAAATATGTAAAAGCTTTGCTTACACAGGATCGTTTTCAGATGAAAAAGAAATCTTTAAACACTCAAAGGAAACAATGATTTTCTATAGATTTGGAAAAATAATTTTTTATCTGAATAAGGTGGTGAAAAGAACCTATGGCATTAGAATTTCTTTGATGCTTTCCTATACTTGAGATTTTAGTTGATCATATAGTTTATATATGTT